TGTCCTTTGGATACAGCTTGAATCCCAGGATTAATGAAGTTTCTCTTTACCTGCCTTCATTCAGTTTCTCAGGAAAACACTGTACATACTATAAATAATTGAGCTGCAGCTCTAAGAACATGCAAAAAAGCATGACTCTGAAGCTGTTCGCACTGGACATTCCTGCAGAATTGTACAAACGGGTTTTAATGATGCAGCTTCTGTAGCAGTTTTCTTGTCCCTTGAGTCTATACACAGAGAATGGCAGCAAATGCTGGTGAAATAAATTTGGATACTCAGAATATGCTAAATGAGCAGCTGTCAAATGACAGCAGTTCATTATTATTGATCCTCTCTATCTTCACAGTGATGTGAACTTCTTGACCTGTGAGAGGTACTTTGTGAGAGACTGTGAGAGAGTATGTGATGTGCAAAGCCTACGCATTCAACTTCCACGCTCTGAGGAAGCATGAGAAGAATTCTGAAAAGGCTTCATGAAGTATGGGCTAAGACGGTGGAAAAGTGCAGCACTTCCAGATGGTAGTCCATAATCTTTAGTGGCCTCATGCACAAAAGTATTCATGAGGTTCTCTTTTTGTGCAGGCAGTACTATAAGGCCAAATATAAAATACAGAATTAATCACTCCAATTTTAATTTATTTTTGTCTATTAGTCTAGTTTAAGAAACAGAGTGCAATCTGATATCTTGTCACCAGAGGAGAAAGTAACGTGCTGACTAGGCCCCACTGCATAATAAATTATCAGAAAGAGAGATGCCAAATGCCCTGTTTACTGATGGGTTTTGTCACATTGAAGGGAAGCATCAGAGACAAAAAGCGGTTGTAGGGATTTCCCTACAAGTCACAGAAGCTGCTGAAGGAGAAGGTTTGAAGATGTGAAAGCTATCCAGCTGGCTTTAGACATTGCTGAATGGGAGAAATGGCCAACATTTTATCTCTACACTGACTCATGGATATTGGCAAATACTCTGTGGGAGTGGTTGCAGTGGTGGAAGCAGAATAACTGGCAGCACTGCCATTGTCGCATTGACACTGCTGTGGCAAGATACTGATGCCTGGGTGGAGACTCTGGGTTTGAAAATACACCATGTAGATGCTCAAGTATCCAAGAGTTAGGTCATTGAAGAAAATCAGAATAACCATGAGATGGATCAGGCTGCTAAGATTAAAGTATCTCAGGTGGATCTGGATTGGCAGCATAAGTGAACAATTTTTAGCTCAGTGGGCCCATGACACCTGGAGCCATAAAGGAAAGGATGTAACCCACAGATGGGTTCCTGACCGAGGGGTGGAACTTATCCATGGACACACTGGCAAAGGTTATCCATTAATGTGAAACATGAGCTGCAATTAAGCAGGACAAGCTTGTGTGGAGGATGGTGTCTGCAGTATAAACGTGGGAGAGCCTGGTAGATTGGCTATAACACACTCCCACCAGCCCACCAGGGCCAGGGGCATGTGCTTACAGTGGTGGAAGCAGCCAGTGGATGGCTAGATACAGATTCTGTGTCCCAAGCCACTGCCCAGAACACTGTCCTGGGCCTTGAAAAGCAAGGTTTATGGTGGCATGATACTCCAGAAAAAAAAGCGAGACAATGGGACTAATTTCTGAAAGAACTTAAAAGACACCTGGGCTAAAGAACATGGCATGGAGTAGCTTTATCACATCCCCTATAATGCACCGGCGACCAGGAAAATCTACTGATACACTGGACTATTAGAGAGGTAACACAGCAATTGGTGGTGGAGCCTTCAAACATTGGGAGCCACTGATCACTGATCACTGCTGGGAGATGTGCTGGGTATCAGTCAAGAGGAAGTGAGCAAATATGTTGTGCATGATTTGTTTCTCTTGGGTTTTATTCCCCACACTCTCTCCTTTTCATTGCTATATTATTATTACTATCATCATCATCATCATCATCATCATTATTTCAATTCTTTATTTCAATTCTTTAAATGTTATTAACCCATAGGGGTTCTTTTTCTTTTTTTCCAATTCTCCTCCCCATCCCACCAGAGAGGCAGGGGGGAGTAAGCAAGCAGCTGTGTGGTATTTAGCTGCTGGCTGAGGTTAAACCACGACATAACTTAATGAAGCAAATGCTCTTCAGTTAACCCACATGATCTGGGGTAGATGTTAAGCCACAGCCCAAATGCAATCTTTTGAAGATCTGCAAGAATTACATGAAGACAAGCATCGGCTTGCTCTGTGGTGTAACATTGCCCTTTCTTATCTGAAAAGTTGATCCAGCTGTGAGCAAGGTTTCTGTCTCCATGTATTTGTCCACCCCAAATAAATACATCATGTGTTGGAGGCTGAATTTTTCCCTTTTCTTTCTGTGGAATTTTTCCCATTGTTATACTAAGTATTTGTGGTTACACCTTAGCTAGTAACAGTTTCTCTCTCAGGGGGTGGGGACAGGGGGAACACCGGTAAAGGAAAGGTGGGATAGGGGCCTGTTGTCTCGGGCTCCGTCTCTCTCGCTCGTCTGGCTCGGAGAAGGACGGTCGCTAGAAACTCGGCTCTGCCACGCTGACGCCGGGAGCTGCCTTCCTTAGCTGTGGGATGCCACAACCTCCCTGCTCGGACGCTCTCCCGCATCTCCTACTGACTCCAGCACATCCTTTTGGAGCATCAGGACTGACACTGCCCTGGGACCTGTGAGCAGCGTCTCCCCTCCGCCCTTCCCATGTGGGACACAGGCGCCGTTCACCGCACGCCCCTCCAGCCCCGTGGGATCCCCGCATCTCCTCCCTGCTCACCGGGGGCTGGCCGGCAGCGCCAGAACGGAGACTGCACCGCAGGGGAAAGGTGGCCACAGCCGAGAGAACTGGGCACTGCGTTTTCTGCTCTCTTGCTGTTAATCTCGCAGTTATTGTTGTGTTTTGTTTGCCTTGTTACATATATATACATATGTCAGTAAAGAACTGTTATTCCTACCCCCATATCTTCGCCTGAAGGCCCTTAATTTCAAAATCACAGTAGACTGAAGGGAGGGGGAGGATTATACTATATTTTTCAAAAAAAAGAGGCCCTTGTTTCTTTTGGCAGATACCTGTCTTTCAAACCAAGACAGCATGATTTAACTCCTACTTATCTTCCAATACTGTATTTCAATATTGGATTCAAATAATCCAATATGGAATGTACTTTGAAAATAATTTAAATGTTTCGCAAGTAAGTTTCCACTCTAACCATCATATCCTGAGATCTAAAGCCTCCGTTTCTCTTGGTATGAAAAGCACTTTATAAACATCCATTAATCTCGTCCTTACTTTGAAAATGTGAGAATTAGCACATCCAAATGTATTTGCAAAAAACCACAAAGTAAACTAAAGGGAGAGTAAATAATATCTGTTCCCTGGACTACGTACTCCTCACGCCTCAAGTTCCCAGCAGTTAATCATAAGCTGAAGAACTAGACTGAAATAACCTATAAACCCTATTCTTAGAAATACAGTACATTTCACAGAAAGGTTGTTCAGTCTTCTCTATTCAGTAGTACTGTTTGGAATTGGTAGAAGGAGACTCAGAGTCTCAGAAGAACATCAGGCAATTTTCAGTTCTTAAAAAAGTGGCTGCTAACAGTAGCCTTAGATAGGAATACATGTTTTGATTGAAGAAGAATTTTAAAATATTTTAACCATCCGTTTAAAACATAGACTGACAATTTGCTGTTTTCTAGAAAACAGTTTTGCCATTTAAAACTTTTTCAATAATTTTAAGCTTTGTTTGCTCCTGAGTTTGATCACTTTTGTCATGAGACCTGAATGAAATTCTACCCTAGTTTTACCACTGCCTGTATAACTAGGACACACTTATGTAACTTCCATCAGAGCATAAGTCACAAATTTTTACCTTTGGCATTGGGCTTGAACACACATCAGTGACAATTTTGCCTGTAAAGTCAGGTATGTCTTTTGGCTAGGAAAACCCACAAGAATTCTAAAACTGTTACTCTCTGTAAAGCTAGCCACATAGTCTAAGGCATTCGTATCAAGACCAAATACAGTTGGAAAAGATGGCAACATATGCAGAACATCAGCATTTTGCTAAAATAATTTTGTTTGCCAAATCATGTCCTACTCTCGAGGACTGCCATCCAAACCTGGAGGACGCAAAAAGCAAAGGTTTCATGCTTTTTAAAGAATGGAAAAATGTTGTCAGATCATAAGATATATGAAAAAATACTGCCAGCTGCTCAATTTATTCATTCAGAGAGAGTGTAGTTGTAGTGCAGATGAGAGGGCAGAAGTTGGCTTAGGATCAGGAAATATCTTGTACTGGAACAATCAACCATCATGCAAGAAAGAGCCTGAAAATAAGAGCCTGTAGGATAAATTATTTAATGTACATATGTTTCCCATAAACTTGACTTTCAAATTCAGAATAATTTCCAATAATTAAACCCATTCTTCAACTCAGGTCAAGACATCAGAGTTGTTGAAATGCTGGTAACGTCTAGTGCTTGATATATTTTCTTTGACCTTTTCTACTACTGGAATTTACATTTTTTCTTTTTTAAAAATTTTATTTTTTTTTTTTTTTTAGAAGAATTGAAAGAAAGGCATAGGGGAAAAACCTCTAAGTTTTTCAAAATTCTTGACTATTTCTTTATATCCCCACATCCCACCTATGATTTGATTGAATTTTAGCATAGTGTTGACTCCTATTCTAATTGCATGCAGCATGAAAAGTGACAACAGAACATGATTTATATATTTATATATGACAATAGAGCAAGGTTTTATTCTGCTTCTGTTTGTCATATTTGAAGGAATAAGCTTTTAGGGTACCAAAATTATTCCTAGCCTTGTTAACTACTTTGGAAGCAAAATAGTTGACATAAGGATAGCCAAATTTATCCTTTTAGGAAAGTTTAATAAGACAGAAAATAATTTCATTGTCAGATAATGCTTCAGTTTATATGACACAATTAGATTTGCAATAAACTACAAACTGATTTGATAATGTCACTTACAACAATAATCCTGGAAGAAGCAATAGTGTAGCATTCACTGATGCTGATGGGCTGGAAGCAACCTGCCACGGAGCAGCTGATTACCCAATCCAGAGTTACATATGTGAAACCGAAAACAGACTTTGACAAGCTATGGATTGTATTTTTAAAATTTGTCTCCCAACTACATAACAAGTTTAGTCTACATGCATTAATATTCCAAACACTTGGCTCATTAGTCTAATCCAGGGATGGGAAGACCACACAAATATATGGATTGTTCAGCAACCCTGACCCCACTCATTCACGCACATGTAATAGCCCTGCCATTCACTCATGCATAGAAATGATCACAAAAGCAAACAATGTCGTGCTCATTCATTCACTTAATTAGTTAGTCACTGTTTCACTCACTTGGTTGACTCAGTCCTTCATACTTACAGCCTTAGAATCTCATCTCACTTTCCCAGTGAGTAATGCCAATTAAAATTCACTTAAGGCCCACATAGATTGAGAAAATCAGAATTACGCCCTCAGTCTGACAGTTACTAAACTTCATGAAGAAATCCTTCAATGTGACTTGGAGTATTTTAAGATCTTAAGTAGAAATTTAGTGCAGCACAGGCCTTGCCTAGCCTTTTTCTCCTCGTTAACTCTCTTGCTTTGAAAGCAAAAGATGGGTTCCTTCCCTCAGTATTTTTTAAGAACTATAGAGAGCAAAATCTGACTTTTAAAATGTAAATTATAGACAAGGTTTCAACACTTATGTAGTTGTCAGCCTATCAATCCATCAAAAAACATTTCCCAGCATCAGTCTGCATATACACTCAGTTACAGAATAATTTTCTTGGTTAAGGTCCAGTTCCCTTAATTTCTCTTAGTTCTATGTTTCATACCCATCATGAAGTGTGAAGGCTTCAGAGAGGAAAGTGATATGTAACATTTAAAAATTGTTAAACCAATGACCTTTTTTTATTCTATGATGCAAGTTGGATACAAAATCAAATTGGTCATTGTTTCCATTAGACATCTGACCAGTATATTCCAGTGACACCTAAAATGTAATGCTGTCTGTCAGTCTCATGACCAAGTCTTTCATCACTGCAAGACAGAGTTCACTGTACAGATCTGCCTGTATTCGTACATACACGTAAATCACTGCAGTGGTGAGCCTTTTATACAGCATGGTCATAAAGCATAAAATGCTTATCTTCTTCTGATTTTAGAAATAAATTATTTTCCCAACAACAGCTTTCTCAGACCAGCAGCAGCAGAGGTTTTTTTTTTTAGCATTTTGATCTTCAGAGATGTTATGTGTATATTTCAAAGAACTGCATATTTGGTAAAAAAATAATTAGAAATAACTGGAAATCCTTGTACCTAGGAAGTAAACTCACTGACACAATGTCACAATAGTGAATGGTCTGGGTAATCCCTTTTCTAAATCTGCATTGATTTATAGATGTTTTTATCAAGAGCTAAACTCGAAAAGAAAACGTCTGGGGTGCAAATGTATGTTTCACGTGGCTGTTGGAAGAAGTACCTTCTACAGCCAAACATGACGACTTGATTCTAGTCAATGAACTCTGTCCATCTGCTAGGGTAATTAAGCCACTGCCTCTGGAGAACTTCGACATATCAGAAACACAATATTCAAATAGACTTCAGGCTTTTAATCTCAGATTTGGCCTGATGGGAGACCATAATCCATCAACACTTATTTAATACTCACTTGAACCTTTAAATTTGCAGCAAAATTCACCCCTGTGAGTGGCACACTCAGCAGTATCATACAGCTACACTGCCAAAACCACCTGGAAATGGGGCCAAGGCGTTGCAATTTAAGTTCTCAGGCATATGTCCTTGTGGCAATTTTGTGATACTATATCATTTAGACCATTAAGTGGTTTGAATATAAGAGTAAATGAAGGTCAGGAAAGGAATAAAAAGAAAATGAAAACACAAAGAGGAAAGGAAGAGAAAGTATTTTTCTCACACAACTTAAGCAGTTTCTGTGACCACAAAATAATCAAACGTCGACTATTTGAGGTGAAATAATTTCTTATAGTCTTAAAAACAAGTTCATTTCCAGTTGAAGGCAGCGGAAGTAAATTAATCCCTTTCACAAATTCAAATGAATGATCACATGCAATAAACTTCATCTCTGCATGTTAAAAGAAAGTTAACAGGAAATCACTTCTGCAGCTTAAGTTGTATAAAAACAACACTGGAGTTTTCCTTTCAGCAACATTTCTCTTTAGCCAAAAGGATACTGTCCTGCCTTTAATATAGAACCATAGTTTGCATCAGTTGTTTGCATCATTCTTGGTCCCGCCTTTATTTGTCTTGCACCCCCTCTAAAATCTCCTTGAACACAGTATGACAGAGCTGAGGTGGCCTAGCATATTGAAAGCACTTATGCCCAGTATAAAATATATTACATACCTTTATCATGACACATGAGGCAAACACTCAGTAAAAGGTCAGGTAGCTTTCTGTTACCCGGGGACGTGTGTGAGGTGTGTGTGTGCATGACTGATGCATCTGCAGAGCTAGGAACCAGCTGCATGTGTTACCATTCACAGCATCAGATGCAGGCAGCCCATAAATGGCACAGAAATCTGCACATTTTCCTGTAACAGTACTGCATCGAGTCCTGGCTGTTTAGCAACGTACTCCCTGTCACACCTTTTTTCCATGCATACAGTCTATTTAATTGTCATTGTTAGACAATATGCCCACACTTGCCACTGAACATGTTTGGTACCTAGACTGAGAAAATCTCCTTTGGTTGGGTGAGTTTCCAGGTACGAGCTCTTGTGACAAATGCATCAAGTGAATTGGCAGCCACTCCTTTAGTTGCACAGCAGGCAAAGAGTCCACAGCAGGAGTAACTTCTGCTATCAGGGACCCTTAGAGCATGGTATGGTGCATGCCTTTGGTGGTTGGTCTGTGCTGCTGTCCTTTCCAGGCCCCAGGCTCTGTGCCTTCAGGCCACAGCACCCTATTTTCAAGTGTGAGAGAAGCAAGGAAGGACAGTGCAGGACCCTCAAGCATCATTCCTGAGACATAGCAGGTCTGATAGACCCTGTTGTATATGCTACATCTTGCAATGACTCATCTCCTCCTCATTTAGCCTAATAAGCACCATAACCAAAGATACATTGGCCTATTTTCTGATTATTAAATTCAATTCTGCAGAGAAGCATATGGCCAATGGAGGGAAAAAAGAGATCAGAAAGGATGTGCAAAACAGTTAATAAGGTTGCATTTCTTTCAGGGAAATTGGTCCATAAGTATCAGTAAGATATTAATGTAAAACATTTTAAAACATATCCAATCTCAAAGTGGCTAGATACAAAGCATAGTCATTAATCGCTTGTTAAAAGTTAACACAAACTCCCTGCTTTTTTATAATGTTACAAGAGGCCAATAATTAAAAGTGGGTAGGGTATGTGCTGATTTCCGTGTAATCATTGCTGTGCATAAGAGATAAATATTATTACAGATTTAGACTGTACTTACTTTAGATTTTAGATTGTACTTACATTTCCATGTATGTAAACATGTAGTAAAATCTCATCAAATTCTCATGGACCAAAATGCAGAATTTCAGAAACACAAGAAGCTGGAGTCTCAGGAAAAGTACAGGGTTAGGAAATGAATGATTAATGTATGGATGGCACTTCTTGAATAAAAAAATATATATTAAAAAACCTCAAAACACAAAGAAACAAAGATCATTCTCCTAAACATTCTGCTGCATGAAATACTACTTGCAGTGCTACTGGCTTTGATTGTAAGGGTAGGTGCAACCAGAACAAAGTGTGCATCCCCTTTCCCTCCCCTCCACCGACCAAGGGAGCTCAAGCATAAGCAGGCTGAACCTCTCGAGGCTGTGTGACTGATCGGTGGAGCCCACCAACCCGCGCCACGGAGGAGACCCAGCCCAAAGCTGCACGCAGCTTTGTTACGCTGCCATTCCGGAGCACAAAGGGAAGCGACGCTACCATCATCAAGTCACTAGTTTATCTACAAGAATTACGGATGCAGGTACCGGCATGGCTGCACCGGGCTGCTGGTGCTGGGGGCAGCATTTCTGTGCCTTTCCTGAACGAAACCGGGTGGGCAAGGGGAAAACTGGCCAACATCTCTCGTTATTCCGGGCCAAGGTAGCTCCCAGCTAGGTCTTGCTTGGTTCCCCTAGCCAGATGGAAAAAAATACCATAAAATTCTGATTACAAGGATATATTAAAATAATAGTGCATAAAGAATAAACTATTCTTAGGAAATACCACGTTATTTGAGATGTTTAAAATATCTACAATAAACCACTCAACTGTCAATTTTGCTTTGCAGCAAAATTTTGTTAGTAACTTCTTTCTACTGGACTGAAATTCCATTATTCAAAGGGTGAAAAGAGGCACATAAGTATCCCCCCCATGGAAGCAATCATAGTTAGGAGCATCCTCTGATGCTGTAAAACGATTATTTTTATTATGTCTAATTGATGCTGGTGATCTAGCACTGACAAATCCTTATTCTACTATTTTAGTCATTCATACAATATGAACGTACACATTACATTCATGTGGTGGGAACATGGAAAAAGCTGCAGTGTGTTAGCTATAAAAAAAGGGCAAATGCTTTCAACAGTTCCAGAAGGTGCTAAAACGGATATTTTTTCTTGAGCCTGATTTTATTTCATTGTCATGTAACACATGTATATTTCTTCAATGTTAGCCATTTTTCTCAAAAGTTCCATGATGCCACCTTACTCCTTCGAGAAAGGCTCCTCAAAATACCAGTTTTTGTAATTATTTCAAAAACTGTTGCACTGTTTTTGCCTAAAGATCCAATCTGAGTGTCTCTGCATAACACAGATCCTTGTTCAAATAGTTGTTCTTTAATCACAGAAATACAGCAGAAGCAGAAAACCACTTGGGTGGTTTATTCTGAGAGAACAGCAAGGCTGTATGGGGCTTGTTGCAACAAACCCCTGCATAGAGAATCAAACAGTTAGTAAAATTCTCCGGGATGTTTGAGGCAGCCTGAACTATGGAAAATCAGGAAATCAGCACCTCATAGACTTTCTTGACAGGAGCTCATCACTTTAACTGCCTAGAGTGGAGCCTTGGTGGATAGGTTGTTTTGTACGGAGCAAAGGAGAAGGAGTAACTCAGTTCAAAACATGTAAAGTTTTCTAGTAAGCATCAGTTTCAGGTATAGCAGATGAATAATCTTCTGTGCAAGAGAGGAAAAGGATATCACCAGTGCTGAGGTCTAGTTCACAGGGTAGGTTCTACAATGCATACCTTTCCACCTTATGGCTGAGCGTACCTGTTACATTAAGTTACCTCACCCTTATCTAGCAATTGTTATTTTTCTTTTTGACCAAAATCAGATCTCATGAAGTGCAATTTGAAAATCAACATAAACTACAAAACCTAAACTTGAAGGGACTGGGTAGCCATTTTGGTGGTGGCAGCCATCTTGGGGCAGAATAGATTCAAAATAGCTGAATTTCCAGAAATTACTAATATCTATCAAACATAATACTTTTAAGATAATCTTCCCAATTGTCAGCCACTCCACTAGAATTAGAGGAAGGTTATAGCTATCTACCACGGTATGACATGTAACTGTAACAGGAAATAATTTCTGCTGCATGTTTTTTGCTTCTAACTCATGAAATCTCAGAAACTTATTTAAAAAATGAGCTACTATTAGAAACCCCTTTTCAAGGCCACGAGGTAAATCAAAAATATACAGTGTAGGAATGCCCACACTTGAGACCTCACTCCAAATTTAATACACAATGAAGTCTGGAAATTTTAAGTACTTACACATAGAAAGAGACTTTAAAAACACACAAGCACATAGCCTTTAAGTAGAAGAACACCGAGCATCACTTGACACGTAAGCCAGCTGCATTATTTAGGAAAGAAGGTGCATTTGTTATTTATTTGCTCTGCAAGAGATTTTATCACTCAGGACCTCATTACAGTGGTTCCTGTTCATTTTTTGAGCATTGACCCTGAGGAAGCACTAAGGTATTCACAAGGAAGAGGGGAGCTGATATTTGGTAAGGATGATGGAAGCAAGGATGTGTCGATTGCTCCAGTGCACATAGGAAGTGGCATTCGATGTGGATGCATGGGAAAGGGATCTAGTCGCAAGGGAGGTGCAGAGTACCATTATAAAACTTAGCTTGGCAATTTTATTTTTCCCTGCTGAAGAAGAGAAAAGACTGGAGCGACCAGAGAGCAGTACGACAGCAGAGTAAAGGTGCATGAATCCTCGAGGTTTAAATACAACCTCGGCAAACAAGATTAATGAGCACGGCTCGTGGATTAGAAATGAGGGGAAACGATGGCAACTTTTGAGGCTGGAGACAGCATGTTGTGAGCAACAGGATGCGAGCCTGATGCAGAGTGAGCACTTTGCTGCTGCGATTTATGACATCCCTCCACGACACAGGGAAACAACCGCGCTGGATGCGGAGGGAGATGAAGCCGCCGGTGCGATGCACAAAAGGAGGGCTGGTGGCGGTAAAGATTGGGCAAGCAAAGGTCGAACACGCGGACACGAGCCAGCAGCGCTGCAAAGTGACTCAGCCGGCCGAGAAATCGGCCAGGGAGCGGCGGGGCTGCCCCGCGGGGATGGGCTATCCCCAGCCTCCAAGGCTGATACATCCTCGTTTTCCCTATGTCTCAGAGCTGTGAGCCATGCTCGCAGATCTGACATGCAAGCCGACGGCATAATTTGCTAATGAGGGCGCGTTTGTGATTTATTTCCTTCGCAAGAGACTTTTACCAGTAAGGACCCCCTTACAGTGGCGGCTGTTCATTTCTGTCCCTGAAGATGCTCTGAGATAGCCACAAGGAAGAGAGGAGGAGACATTTGGTAAAGAAGGATGATGGGACTTATGGAAGCAAGGATACGGCGACCGCTTCAGTGCATCTCAGAAGTAGCACTCGACGCGAGACGCATAGGAAAGGGATGCGGTCAGAAGGGAAGGGCTAGGAAAAACTTATCTTGGCAATTTTTTTTCCCTGCTGAAGATGGAGAAATGCTGGAATGACCCCCAGCGGCTGAAGCTCCCGCGCCTGGGTAGCAACAGGAGGAGCGGCAGCGAGGACGAAGGGCCCGCTCCGGGCATTCCCGCCTCCGAGACCGTTACGGCCGTTACGCCTCTCCCGCTCTCGGACCGATTCAAACTCAGCAGCGGCGCCGAGCGGGAGCGGGAGTGCGGCCCCTCCCGGTGCCCGCCAATCCTCTCGCCTGCCTCCCTCCCATTTCCCCTCCCTCTCCCCCCTTCTCCACGTGAGGCGGCAGGAGAGTTTCAAGCCTCCCCGGCGCGGCGCAGCCTGGAGCCCGGCCCCGCCGCGCGGTGTGAGGGGGGGCGGGAGCGCGGGGGGCGGTGGAAGCCGGGGGAGCACGAGCCCCCCGGCCCCCCGCGCGGGCAGCGCGAGAACAAAGAGTTCTCCCCACTCCTCCCTCCCCCCCCGCACGTGGGGAGGCAGGCCGCTCCCCTCGGCCCGCCCCTCGCAGCGACCGATTGGCCCGGCGGGGCCCCGGCCGCGTCCGTCCGGCCAATGGGGGCGGCGCTCGGCGCTCGCCAATGAGCGCGATGGCGATTGGGCCGGCGTGTTTGGCGCTCTGTCCGGCAGGGTGAATCCGGCAGCCGGAGGCGGAGGGAGGCAGAGTGGGAGCGCCGAGCGGAGCTGGCGGCGGCACCGGCGGGAGCGGCGGCGGCGGCAGCGCGGAGCTGAGGCGGCGGGGGGGCGGGTGAGTGAGCGGGCGAGCGAGCGACACCTCGCGGGCTTGAGGCGGCGGCGGCGGCGCCGGGAGCGGCTATTTTTACCCGGGTCCTTTGTCATGGGGGAGGGGAGGGGGCGGCAGGGAGAAAGGGAGGGGACGATGGGGGCGGCGGGGGCGGCGACGACGACGACGACGACGGCGACGACGACGACGACGACGACGGTGGCGGCGGCGGCGGCGGCTCCCGAGGAGCAGCCGCCCTCCACGTCCCCTTCCCGCCGGGCGCCGGCGGGCAGACACGCGCGCTCCGGGCCGGTGACAGCTGGAGGAGGGAGACGTGGAGTCTGGAGTGCCCTTTGTCTAAGTTGGCTCCGTCCAGCCCGGCCGGTGGCTCCGATCCCCGCCCGGCGAGGCGCAGAGCCGGGCGGGTGGCGAGAGGGAGAAACAGACCAGGCGATTCCCTTCCCCTCCTCTCCGCTCCAGCTGGCGGCACGCGGCGGCGGCTCCGGCGTGGGCAGAGGGAGGTGTGTGTGTGTCCGCGAACCCGGCGCACGCCGGGCAGGGGGAAATCCGTGTGCCCGCCTTGGGCAGCGCGGCACAGAGCTCGTCCCTCTCCTCCCGGGAAGCTGAGACAGGTCCGCCCGGGCTCCCGGAAGCCGGGGCGAACCGGGCGGGGAGGCTGAGAGCGCCCTGGGCCTCCTGCCCGCACCCCCGGAACGGCGGGGCTAGGCTGGGGGCTCCCACCCCGGCCTTGGGGTTCTCCACGCTCAGAGAGGGAGCTCAGGGGGGGCCTGGGAGGAACTCAATTTGGCGGCCGCTCCGGCGAACTTCCTAATAGTGGAGGACACCGTGTGATCCCGATCTTCCAGAGCGCCGCAAGAAACTTCATAAATAGCTGAAAATTCTAGGGTTTTGGGTCTTTTATCGCCAAGCACGTCGATACGGAGGACTGTTTAAAGCTGGTGTCTGGGGAGGTGCGAAGGAGAGTACTGAGCTGAGCCGTCCGTGAGCAAAAAATGTGTGGTTGGATAAAGAAATCGGTGTGTTATGGTATCATGCACATGTATTTAACATTACTAGGTCTTCGTGGTGATTCCAAAATTGTTATTCATACATGAAAGAAAAGCAGTTCGTGCACAGATGTGTGGCAGGAATGGTATACCAAATTTGTACATTTCTCGAGATACTTATTTCTGGCTTACAAAGAACCACACTGATTTTATTGGAGCAAGAGAAGAGGGTTTTTTTGCATTTTTTTAAGCTGGAAGTTCAGATTTTTGATCTCTCTGATGAGATGCATTTAAGATTTGGAGAAGGTAATTTAATTCTAGCAGGATAGGTTTGTCTTTGGTTAAGTCTAGCAGCTCTAGTTTCAGCTATTGTGAGTTTGGTTCTTACTAATACAGATTTCAGTGAAGAGTTTTTACCGGTACATTTAGTGTAATCTTCACATCTAAGTGGGGATTTTTCTCATAGATAGATAAATATTTTTTCCAGGGGTTGGCACATTCAGATTCTTTATGCAGCTTATAAAAATTTAAAGGTCATTCTTTCTTTGTCCCCAGTGTCTATATTAAATTGAGAGTCCAGGGAATGCTTTTTTGTGGTAACAATAAAGCATCTGCAGAAGGGACAGTATTACATAGTGTACTATAACTAGTCTCACTAGTGATTATTTAAATGTGAATATTTGAAAGCTACAAAATCTTTCAGAAAACATGCTTCCAGTATTTTAGGAGATGTGACTCAGATTTTTTCTGTGATGTGTTGGTTGTTTTTAAGAGCTAGCATTTTACAAAATGCTGGATTCAAAACATTGCATTTCTTGTTCTGGAGTTTCCTTTACAAGAGAAAAAAAAAAAAGAAAAAGGAAAATTTTTTTCTCCTTCCTCTGCCTCCATGAGAAATTAAAATAACAAAGTTAACCTGTGGAGAAATCTGTGACAGTATAATGTTCCATGAAATACCAACTGCTATTTTCATCTGTTACTTTAGAAGGACTCACTACTTTAAATTAGGAGAAAAATTGGGAAAAACTTTCAGGTTCTTTCATAGATTTTGTTAATTAGTAATTTAACCTTGGAAAGTGGCAGACACTGAAAATCTGCACCTTCAAAAAGTCATAAAATGTCACCGCTCAGTTTAAAATGAGCTAAAGTGGTGGTGTGTAAACTTAGGCCAGAAACTTGAAATTCAAGCTCCACTTTGTTCCCCACCGCGATGTGGTTTTTTTTTTTTTCTTTCTTGCTAAAATTGCCAACAAACTGAATTATGGTGATTTCTTTGAAGACATGCTTTCAAACTGGTTTTTGTTTGTTCTGTGACATTGCAACCTTCATAGGTGAAATGTAAATATTCCTGCACTAGTTCTTACCCGCAAAGAAACTTTGGCTTAGGGAGAAGGGAATTTTTGTAGTACATTATTGAATGCATGAGCTGTACTAGATATAGAGAGAATGCAAGCCCCTTTCTGTAAAGCAGTTTATGTCAGAATAAGCTACATCTAGAATCCAGTGCAGGCCAACAGTGCTCCCAGGAAAGATGGTGCACTCTAAAATTCCTCTTGTAATTTGTCAAAATAAGTATTCTGTCACCATTCATGAGACAGTTCAGCTTCCTTAACTGTGGAGATCATGGATGCGTTTTAATAAGTTCACAGCTGTAGTGATAAAACTGAAGAACAATTTTAGATTATGGTTCTATATTCATGTGATTGAACAGTGAGAGGGTTTTTTTTTTTAATGGCAATATTGACAGAAGGCACATTTAATAAATGTCTGCTTTACATCGTGTTTGAGCAAAAGTGCTGTGGAAAAACTTTACTGTTGGCTGTAATCTGTAAGTTCTGTAATTCTTCTACTGTTAGTACTTACAGATGGATCTTAGCTGACTTGGGGAAAATATCAGTGAAGCCTTAGGGAGAATAACATTTTCCCCAGCAGGGATGCTGAAAATCTCAAGAACAGAGCCTGGCCTTTGCTAAGCAAGGAAGTTCACTGAGTCGATAAAGTAATTTTGGCAGTATTACTTATCCAAGTAAAATTCACTTTACCAGATTTTTTAAAGAGTGAAGGAAATGAGCTGCGTACTGCAAATACAATTCTTAATGATTTGATAAAGGTGTTTGTGTAACACATTAACAAACAAGATCACTGTTAACAGAAGCTGTAGGACAGTAACAGGAGGTTCATTTTAATGATGAAGCAGCTTCTAACCTTCTGTTCCTTCCATCAGCGAGGTCTATGGAGAGCTGTGCTGGGCTCGTTGAAGTGGTGTCTGATTGAAGACAGCATCTGTAAATGTATCTATCTATAAATGTATCTACACATTTAACACCTAAGTGTATGACTTGGACAACTGTTCCGGAGTGGTTAGGTCAGTCTTTAAATGGATGACTTACTCCTGCACTGACATAGTTTAAGGAATAATTTTAGTTAAAGTTAAGCTATGTCTGCGAGGAGAACAGTAAGGCAGACTAAAATCTTGTATAAAATGTACCCAAACCAGCGAAATCTTATATGAATTGTGTGCTGAAGAGAGAGGAGTGCTTCATAGGGGACTGATGACCACACTTGTTACAAGTTAGTCAAATTCTCAGGTTTGTTTTTTTAGCTCTGAGTATATGCCCAAGGGTTTTGTTGAACTAAAGATTAAAAGGAAAACAATGTACAGAATTACGAAGTTGGTGTCCTGTCTGTTCTCACAGAGATCTGTTAAAGATTTTGGGATGATGCTGTGTAGGTCTATTTATAGATGAGGTGAAACTGTAAATATAATTTATTGAGAGATGGTTCTGTTGAGCTCCAAACAGGAAACAAGGACGTTTTCTAAAACATACTGCTTTCTGTAACGGATAGTAGTAGGCAGTTTGTTGTACACCTGGATTTCCACTGAGGTGGGTCAGACTGTGGACTTGTTTCTGAATTAAGAGGTAAAGTAACACTAGTAAACTTGAGTAGAGGCAACTGTTAAGAGGAAGAGTAGAAGGTATAATTGACAAGAAGGTATAAAATTGACAAGTTAAGCTTCTCTTAAAAATGCTAAAAAAGGAAGGAATTTTAAAATATATAATGAAATTTTTAGCCACCGGTTTGTAAATTGACTGTAATTTAAAAATATTGGGAGAGAAGTGGATGTCTATTAATGTCCCTGCTGTGTCCAGAAAAAAATATAAATAAACACTGCTCCTCCCCAAATGTGTGTGGATCACACTCATGTAAGAGAGCTTTGGCTTCCTGGCTAAAGCTTGGGCATAGGAAGCAGAGAATGCATTATATATCATTCCAAGTCAACATCAGTTTTCACAATAAGTGAAAAATCATATCTAGTGGTAAAATCAGTAGTACTCTTAAGGTAAGAAAGCCATTTGGACATTTAGATAGATCCTATGTGTGATTTGAATACTGTGGATAAAAATAGTCTAATGATGTGAGTAGATCAGCACAGTGTTGTCATTTGCCTGAAAATGTGATGTAGTACTTCCAAAGCTTCTAATTGGGATATATATATGATTTCATTAACAAATGAGGTAAAACTGGTGTCTTACCATGTGCAGAATACTCCAGAATTTGCTATTAGTTTTCTTTTTTTTTGTATATACATATGGTGCCTGCTTGAATAACATTGTATGTGTAATTATGCAAGCAAAGTAGTACAAATTGCAGTTCACGTCCTAGGCTCTTTTATATAAGAATTGAAAATAAATCTTTACAGGAGAGTATGGTTTCTTTATATTTTTAAGTTGTTTTTTTGATCTAGAACCAGACCTATTTCCCTTGTCAGTTTTTTGTTGTATCTGGCTGCTTTCCATTTTGCCTTTTACATGGTTAATTCAGTTTTTCCTGACATGCATTCTCTTTTCACAGCCTGCATGTTCAGTTTAAATCCCAAAGCCTTCAGATGTAATTTAAAGAAACAAAGTATTTGAAAGGAAGGAAATTCAAATCTTATAACTTATATATAATTTTAAATTTTTTTAGCATGTGCTGGTTTCCTTTCTGTGTTTCTTAGTGTGAGTGGATCTGGCAAGCTTTATATTTTTGGTGTGTAGTCTGATCTTGTTTTTACTAAGAAGATAAAAATTTCTAGAGCTGGAATGAATTTTGCTGCTTCTGTAGGAAGTTGTATGGATGTGTGTTATAGATAGTTGATTTACCCATGGAACTATACCATGGCAAATGGATTAAAGTTGTTATTATAATATCTTTTTTAGTGTTACCGTATATAACCAGGACAGCGTAAATTCTGTCCTTTGAGATGACTTTTTCCTGTTGTATGTCCACTAGGTTGTGCCGTGTTTCTAGTGAGTATTTATTGCCAATGTGTTTAGTGCAAAGTTAAATCCAGTAATTATTGGAAGAAGAGATTGACATATGTTGTTTTATTCTTAATTTAGTTTAACCATTCCTGGTATTCAGTATACATGGCGGCTTTGAGACTGGGATACATAAGGTCACAAGACCTTATTTAGTATTTGCAGTTCTCTTCCACGGAGATATTTTCTTTTTCACTGAAGGGTGGTGAAGGTTTTGGGGTTGCGTGTTGGGTTTTTTTTAATGTTTTGGCTTTTTCTTTGGTTTTCTTTTTTCAAGATAAACTGTTTCTAATTAGTTTTCTCTATTAAGTTAAGCTTCTGGAAAAGTATCTGTGGAGTTTTTTCCTTTTTATCAACATCTAATATAATGTGCGGGTGGATTTATCGCTGTATACTTTACAGAATAAAGATGCCATACATTAGACCCAGTTATTTTATGAAACTTAAAATAAGAGTTTTTTAAATAACTGTTATGGTTAGTTTAATCATTTAAAGCTAATTTGGAATTATTTAGGCAAATGGCAAATGCCAGTTCAGCTTCAAATTTGCCAGACTGCTCTACAGTAAGTTCTTCATACGTGCAAGTGTAATGTCTTTCAAAATTTAGGCTATTTGCCTAAGGGAAAGAAGATGGAATAGCTATTGAACCTGAATTGTTGTGCATCAGGGTTTTTCTTGTGTGGAGTTTGTGTTGCTTTTGCAAGTATAGGTTGAACAGAACTTGTGGCTATTTTAGTTTTTATAGTACAAAAGGTGTGTCCCCAAAACAAATTCAGGTGGAATAGTCTGTGCTCTTAAGATTCACATCATAAATTATTTTGTCTGTTGAGACATGTAAGTGTTCCCAGCAAGTGTTACTTTTTCTGCCAGATTTATCTAGGATATCAAAAAGCCAAAATTTTAAGAGATAAAGGTGTTAGGCAACAGAGATTAATTGGAATGTTTGTGGGAGTCATCTAACTCCTCTGGGTGTGAATGAGTGTGAAGAGAGAAATTCTGGAGGTATGCACTTGAGCAACTCAAAGGTGAAGCTCAAGTTTTATGCATAAAACTCTGCTTTCTCCTGACGAATAGCCAGACTTGGTTTGCTCTGAGGAATGTGGGATGGTTTTAATTGTGACTTGTAAAAAATATGATCAAATTTGGGCTTGAAACTTTTTGTTGCTGTGGTACTGCTGGGAGTTTTAAAATGTTTTATTTGTTTTTTGAGCCAAATAATCTTACTCATCCATGCAAATGTTAGAAGTATTTATAGATGCAGATATTCAAGTGAAAAGCAAGTAGTTGCATTACCTACTGCATGCAGTTCTCTTCCACGGAGATGTTTTCTTTTTCACTGAAGGGTGGTGGAGTTTTTTGAGGTTGTATGTTGGGTTTTTTTAATGTTTTGGCTTTTTCCTTGTTTTTTTTCAAGATAAACTGCTCATGTTGCCCAAAGTGAAGTGAGATGTCAGTCATTTTCAGTTACTGCCAATCTGGTTCAGTCTTTAATATAAAATATTTGGTTATGATCTCCCTGTTCTCTCTTTTCCCTCCCCCCATCCAAATGGACAAGTGCTTTAACTTCTTATTTTTATTTCCAAACTGGTATTTTTCTAAAAGTATCAAATGTTGAAATGTGCTGAAAAAAAGTGGAACTGTAGGGAATTCAGAAGTTTTTTTCTTTTAAATGGGTTACTCTTACTCCTTCAGTGGTATTCGGTAATGATTTCATGTCTGTTTCTATTTAGGGAAAGTGGGGACACACAAAGATTTGTTTTTTTTTAAGGGAAGAACAGCTTTGAAACTTGCAGGCTTGCTTATACAGATAAATCCGTACTGGAGTGTTCTATCTTCTTCTTTTAAGGACTGTCTGAAAACAAATTATGTTGTGTTACTTTTTGTATTCTACTGTAGTATTTGTTTAAGGAAATGTATTGAAAAACTAATTATTTGTATTGAAATCTTGTTTTCTTATAAACAGACATAACATTTTTGTTTCCCTCTACTGAAGAGAATGAAACTGAGAAGCATCCATACCAGTGCTTCTTAATGAGTAAACGTTCTAAATGAAGAACTCCCACAAAATGAGATAATGCCAAAATAAATCCGAAAGCGGTGTGCTATTAGGAATAAAGAAGTCATCAAACCGTTGCCCTCCTTCTTTGTCTCAGAAAATCTGAAATAAACTTGATTTCTAGAACAGTGCTGTTGTGGAATCTTGCTCAGGTACTTAATGTTTAATCAACCTATAATTAGTTACAAAAACTTTTAAAATGATTGGGAGGTTTTGTCATGGCCAGATGAGTTCTTGTGGGTATTCTTAATGGTTATTATTTAAATTTCTGAAGCAGATTGTTTAAAATTATATTAGATATTAAGGAACACAAATTTGAATATTTTCTGAAATGGTTCTGGAAGATCAAGAGCTACTTATAAACTCTGAGCTGCAAAGTTTTGACATGCTAGGAGATATAGTAAGGAATGTTGAATACTGGCAGTTGCTTTGCTTTGCTAGTTTTCTCATACAGGAAAATAGAAGATTCTCATTTAAAACGAGCAAGAAGATAAATAAAGATTTCTCATGTTTTTCCAGGAGGCAAAAGGGAGTGAAGCAGCATTTCTTTCTACTTAATAGCCAAGAGCTTCTTGACTCCTTATTCTTTCCTTTCTTTCTTCCTTGTCCGTGGGAGTTCTTAATATCTGCCTGGTCAGGATATAATAATGGTAGAAACTCCTGAGAAGGATTTTAATGCAACATAGTATTGAACTATGTATGTGAAGGAACTATTAGGGGAGAAAGCAAGAAATAAAATGCCGTAGGAGGGAGACTAATATTTATAATAAAGAAAAATCAGATAGGGAGCATGATTGAAGAAAACGTGAGTTTTGTGAGCCCTCGAGCCGACATGTTTCCCTCCTGTCTTGTCTGAACTCCTCTGACTTACTGAGGAATGTTACTCAGAAGTAAGCATTTAGTACTGTCACAAGGAGCTGAAAATTGGAATGCCTGAGGCCATGGGTCTGTGTCTTTAGGTGGGGCCAGAACAACTGGATGCTCACTTTCTTCAGTCAAATGCAGCAAGATATTTTCAGCCAGCAAACTTCCTTGCTTCTGTCAATGGCTGCAACAATGCTCCTGCTGTCAGGAGGGAAATGATAGCACGGGTGCAAATAAAAGGGCTTCTTTTTGTAGCAATGCCAGCATGAAGTAGGGGTGATGCTTGAAAGTCAATGCTGGCGGTTTTTGTCTGATATGTTTGGGCAGTAATTACTTCAACTGTTAAAAACAGACTGGAAACAGTAATTGATGAAGGAAAGTATGTGTTGTGACCAAGGCAAGCCTAAGTCAGGAGTTAAATATGTGGAGGGGAAACAGGTGATCCTACCACCTCCTTTCAAATCAGAGCCGAAGGTTAGAATTCCTAATATCTAAGATAGGAGCATTCCCTAGCAACGTCTAGGTGTTCAGTGCAGAACTGTAGCTGCTATAACATTATGTAATTATGTTACATACTGGAGCAGTATGTAACAGGGGGCAGTGACAGTGAGTCTTTGGAATGGTGGTTGGCTGCAGTGGCATTGCTTGGGTGGGGGGGCTGCTCTCTGTTGATGCATCAGTGTCTGCAGCTCTAAGTGGTGTTTCTCCTTAGTAATTTTGTTTTTAATGACTTCCCCAATCTCTTAAGTTTTTATTTTTTTATAGAATATATGTTCATGCTGAAGCTTTTCATAATGCTGGAGCACTTGTAGTCCTTCATGAAACTCTTGTAGAACATATATATAACTTAATGG